AACGTTAACTAACTAAACTTAACTTTAACTTATACTATACTAGTAAGTAAGTTAGTAGTCTATACGTGTTAGTAGTATGTAGTGTGTGTGTACTATATATATATATATATATATATATATATATATATATATATATATATGTATATAAATGAATAAATAAATAGCTCTAATAAAATTGGTTACATTAATTGTTAAAAGGTAATTAAAATCAGCACTATAAAACAATAATGAACTTAATATCAAATATGCATTAAGTAAGCATTGTCGGTCCTAGTTGTCAACTTGATGTCATAACTGACAATGCCTTTGGTAATAGCACCCAAGTGCATTAGGGATATCCTATCTATCAGACAAAATCCAAATGCTGATGTTAATCTATCCATTAGTGATGGAAGATCATGTAAATTTACAGAGCTGGGTGCTTGCACCCACGATGTCTCAACTCCTGTCTTTCACTATCTGCAGCCAGTTGTGGGAAGACAGTTACCCTTAGAGTTCTTAAAGTAGAAATGAAACACCTTGAAATTTCTACTACATGAAACTCCTAACCTCTGCCCTTACAAAAATGTATTAAATGGAACTAAATGATCTTAAAGAAAACTACAAACCTTACCTTAATAGTTCTTATGTACTCAATCTCCTCCCTTTTTTTTGAAAATTTATTCAAGTATAACATGGGAAAGCCGAGACAAGCCCAGATATGTGAAGTTAGTATTTCTGTCCTGTTATACTTAATAAAATTATATTTTTAAAGTTAGCTACTTGTAAACCAAAAGTAAATAATGATCTCTAGTGTCTCAAATAAGTTATTTTCCGTAATTTAAAGTTTGTTTTTGAAAATATTTTCGTATTTATTATAAAAAGTGTAAAGAATTTATTTCTAAAGGCAGAAGTTGGGGCTTTCACATATTAGAAATTTTAGTGTAGTTTCATTTCTACTTTAACAACTTTAAGAACTCTAAGGGTAACTATCTTGCCACAACTGGCAGCAGACAGTGAAAGGCAGTAGGAGTTGAGATGTTGTGGGTGTAAACACTCGGTTCCATACCCTTATTTGGTTTTCCATGATAACTGGTTAGTTTAAAATCAGCATTTGGATATTATCTGGGGATGGGATATCCCCAATGCATTTGGGTGCTATTACCACAGGCATTACTGTTATATCAAGTTGACAACTAGGATCGACAATGGCTATTCTACCAATGCTTATTTTCTATATATGTACATATGTATGCATGTACACACACATCTCAACACATGCATACTTCATATGCATAGAAATAAGCAGCATTACACTCATTAAAATGACCAAGTCTGTATGCATAAGTTACTTTGGGGGGTTTCTTGCTCCTGGGCACTTCATAAATAAAGGGATAATAGAAGCACCTTCTTAAGAAAGTAATAATTTAAAACCATGTTTTCTTAAATCATTTACTTGATAAATAATAAAAAATATGAATTACTACATACAAACACTATCCATTTTGCACGTTTGTATGGGAAAAAAATTTAAATGCCCTTCTTGTTAACTCCAAAGTAATAATTCACAAAGATAATGAAGTGATATGTTAATTATAGAAGTAAAGAATACTCCCATTTTATGCATAGCTCTGATATAACTATGAGAACCAAAAATAAAGTAAGGCACATTTGAAAAATACCTTGCAGAACAGCATTAATTACATAAAGGGAAAATCACTCAGTGTATGAATTAATTTTGTTTCAGTTTTAGTAAAACTAGCCTATTTCAGTAAACATCATTATCTGTGGAAAGGTTCTAAAACCAAAGTTATGTCCAATGTTTTTTTTTCAGAGAATACTCATTCACCAAATAATGAAATATTTCAATTAGCATAAACTAATAATGTGCTAAAAAATGATTGAAAGTGTAGTTAATGTTTTTAAGCAAATAATGATGTGCAGTGTGGCTTTATCCAAGGAGGAGTTTCTGATTTTTTGGAGTCACTGCCTGTCCTAACATCTGAAAAATATTTTGTAACTTTCCATATGGCTAAACCTGCAGTTTGAATAAAAGTGATTGAATAACATGGTGTCTGTAATTTCCAACAAGTTCTAAATTTCTCAAACTGACTATTAGTATATATATAAAATTAATCTAGCCTCAGTTTTTCAGCAGTATCAGGAATCTCAAACTGATTCAGTATTATTTTAAATACTTTTTACATGTATGGTTCACAATGTTTGATCTTGAAATTTGATTTTGAAATCACGTTCATCAAGCAGCATGCATGCATGTTTCAAGTATTAGAAAACATTAACATACATGATACTTTTTTTTTATTCATAAATTATTGCCTCAAAGTATGAATAGTTTGATGTAATAATTTAATTTCTATGGATACTCTAATTATAATTACAAATAGGTTTTCATAAATGTTTATTTTTTATGCAAGTCAGTAGCTAATTAAAGGATATGATATTTTCATACCGCTTAGCTAAATTTTCATTGTGGCATTTTATCAAAGTGTTGTGTTGTAATAAAACAAGTAAACTTGGATTTCTTGTTGTTGACTAAAACGTGTCTTGTTGTATAATAATCATTTAGTCATGCTCATTAGAATATCTTATTACTGGGTGCAGGTTGGCCTTGAGGTAGAGCTCTGGATTTTGGACCTGGTGAGCAGGGTTTGAATTTGTGTGATACCACAAAATATTTCCTGCACTTTAAAAGTGGCAGTCAGTCCCTTAGCATAGATAGTGAGTGATGGTACTGTTGACTGACTGCTTACACTGGTCAATAATTCAAAATTAGGGAGGGCAGCAAGTACCCTTAGTAGCTTTACCATCAATACAAAATACATGTACATTATAATGGAGTATTAATAATGTGAAGAAAAAAGCTGCAGTAATATGAAGTGTTACATATTTTATTGTATGTGAACAACACAACCCTTTTAGTGGGGTTAGATAGTGTTAAAAGCCCAATATTTTATTTGCTTATATCATCTGTTGTAGGAAAAATCTGCATTTTAGCTTTTCTTTTGAAAATGAATCTATGTAACAGATGCTATATTGTCTTTCATTTAGAATACTTGAATTACTCAGGCACTATATAATTGCACTTAGAAAATCAAAATATGATATTTCACAAGAATTAGAAAAGTTTTAATCATTTGTGATTTAATGTTTGTTAAGAATATTACTTCAACTTTTCTGTGCTATCTTGATCTTTGCACCCATAACAAGATCCTGGAGTGTGGATTAAGTTGTATTTGGATATCAGTTTACATATATGAGAAACAACAGAATACTTAGATACTTGCACGTTTGGATCAAAAGTGCGTTTATTTAAAAGTTATTATTTAGTTTGTTTTGAGAAATATATATATATATGTACTTCAGATATAATACCTTACACCTACTATGGTGTACAGTTACTCCTTTTGGTTTGTACCAAAAAGTAGGCCTTTTATTTTTCAGTCAGCTTTCTCCCATCTGTCATTTGCAGTTTTGTAATCTCTTACAAAAATCAATCATCTCAGAGTTCTTATGTGATATAGCACATTTTGCTCCTTTGTTGTTAAAATCTCTGATTCTGTCACCATCCATCACATTGTACTACTTATACAAAGTACCTATCCAAGTGTATGTGATTACATTTGTTTCCTTTCTATTTGTAACCTGCTTGTCAAAGTTGTGTTTGTGCATGTGGGGAGGTATTCAACTATGACTTCTGTTACATATATTAAATGAGCATGGCATTTGGAAGAGCTATGGATATTTAAGTCTGTATTTCTAGACTCCTCAGTTCTGGTACCCAGTCTTTTACTCTCAAATATCCCAGAAACATTTATTTCCATTTGTAATCTCTGTGTGTGTGTGTTCACCTATGAATATGGGTTTGATATCTTGAAACATACCCTGTTATTTATTCTTTTTTGAAGTGACAATACCAATTAGTCAAGCCTTGTCTGGTGGTGGCTCACATGCTTTTTAGTTTAAATGTTGCAATTCTGGTATGG